TCTAGTGGCACAGTTAGCACTGCGATGCAGTGCCTTAGACCACTGCGCCACTCTTACTTTGGTCCCAGCTCTCTGCAGGTCATTCACTAGGTCCCCCCGTGTGGTTCTGGGATTTTTGCTCACCGTTCTTGTGATCATTTTGACCCCACGGGGTGAGATCTTGCCCCAGATCGAGGGAGATTATCAGTGGTCTTGTATGTCTTCCATTTCCTAATAATTGCTCCCAGAGTTGATTTCTTCAAACCAAGCTGCTTACCTATTGCAGATTCAGTCTTCCCAGCCTGGTGCAGGTCTACAATTGTGTTTCTGGTGTCCTTTGACAGCTGTTTGGAGTGTGACTGTTTGAGGTTGTGGACAGGTGTCTTTTATACTGATAACAAGTTCAAACAGGTGCCATTAATACAGGTAACGAGTGGAGGACAGAGGAGCCTCTTAAAGAAGAAGTTACAGGTCTGTGAGAGCCAGAAATCTTGCTTGTTTGTAGGTGACCAAATACTTATTTTCCACCATAATTTGTAAATAAATTCATAAAAAATCCTACAATGTGATTTTCTGGATTTTTTTTCTCATTTTGTCTGTCATAGTTGACGTGTACCTATGATGAAAATTACAGGCCTCTCTCATCTTTTTAAGTGGGAGAACTTGCACAATTGGTGGCTGATTTAATACTTTTTTTCCCCACTGCATATCAAATTTCTTTGGTATTTCATCACCTGCTGAATAAAAACCTCAAATGGCCCTACTCCTGAAAAAGTTAATCTGGACAGATAAACTGAAGTGGACTCGGCCCGAGTACCATTAGCCGAAGCCCAGAGTAATATGATTCTGCCGGGCTCGGGAAGAGCTCGGCCCGCATGAAGCCCCTCTGAGTCCGAGTCCATGCTGAGTCCCCCGAGTCTCAAACGGAATAGGCCCGAGCCTAGCGTGTTGACTAGGTACAGTATGCCACGAGACCCAAAGCCGCTTTGGTGCACTCTGCCAGCTGTTGTTTGTCAAGTGTGCTAAGCTGAATCATGCAAACCCTGCTGAAAAAGAACATTACTCAAAATGTAATAACTGTAGTGGTGTCTTATATGCAATGGTTTCACGCCCACAAACACTATGCACATGTTTATATAGGTTGGTGTCTTGAGTAGTAGTATTTAATTGAGTAGCATTTAAATAACTGGTCAGTATTTCAATCAATCAGATTTAAGCCAAAAAACAGATATCAACCAAAATAAGTATTTTTCAAGATGTCAAAAGACTTCATGAAAAATAGTCTCTTAATCTGGTTGTGATCTGGTTATAAGATCTCCCAACCATATTTCAACCAGTAAAATACTTCTTTATCATGTCGTATGCCAACTGGGATATAGCTCCATTCTTATGTATTTTATTCCTCTCCTTACTATTTTTTAATGTTCTTTTTATTTTTGAAACTGCATCATTGGGAATGGCTCGTAAGCAAGCATTTCACAGTAAAGTCTACACCCATTGTATTCGGAGCATGTGACAAATAAATGTAGATTTGATTATTAGATTTTTGTGTGATTCCCCAAGTCAGTGAAGGAATACAGAAGCATAACTGCCTATGAGGTCCACCATCAAAATGTGATGTTGCTATGGTAACAAGCAGCAGCAGAAATTATGTTTTGAGCAAGTGGTGATCTTGGGGGAGATGAAAATAAAATTATATTTCTGTGTCACTGGAATGAACACATCTAGACACTGTTACTCATACACCCGAATCAATATTTGAAAATAAAATCAACTCTTCACAACATTGATTTGATATCGATCGTCTCGCTCACATCCAACCAAGAGGTTTTCCTTTTTCCTATTTAATCGCCCCTGTTGCCATGGTGAGGGCAGGACCATGTAGAGGGATTATTACAACAAAAAAATCTAATTTCAAGATGGAGCAATAATAAGACCATTAACCTGAAGTGGTGTATTGGCCGAATGATGTCATGTTCTATGCAGCACAGACAGTACAGTGGCTTGCGAAAGTATTCACCCCCCTTGGCATTTTTCCTATTTTGTTGCTTTACAACCTGGAATTAAAATGGATTATTTGTGGGTTTGTATCATTTGATTTACACAACATGCCTACCACTTTGAAGATGCAATTTTTTTGTTGTTGTGTGAAACAAACAACAAATAAGACAAAAAAACAGAACTTGAGCGTGCATAACTATTCACCCCCCCAAAGTCAATACTTTGTAGAGCCACCTTTTGCAGCAATTACAGCTGCAGGTCTCTTGGGGTATGTCTCTTTAAGCTTGGCACATCTAGCCACTGGGAGTTTTGCCTATTCTTCAAGGTAAAACTGCTCTAGCTCCTTCAAATTGGATGGGTTCCGCTGGTGTACAGTAATCTTTAAGTCATACCACAGATTCTCAATTGGATTGAGGTCTATGCTTTGACTAGGCCATTCCAAGACATTTAAATGTTTCCCCTTAAACCACTCAAGTGTTGCTTTAGCAGTATGCTTAGGGTCATTGTCCTGCTGGAAGGTTAACCTCCGACCCAGTCTCAAATCTCTGGAAGACTGAAACAGGTTTCCCTCAAGAATTTCCCTGTATTTAGCCCCATCCAGTTAGTTTCCCAGTCCCTGCCGATGAAAAACATCCCCACATCATGATGCTGCCACCACCATGCTTCACTGTGGGGATGGGGTTCTCGGGTGATGAGAGAGGGGTTGGGTTTGCGCCAGACATAGTGTTTTCCTTGATGGCCAAAAAGCTACATTTTTGTCTCATCTCACCAGAGTACCTTCTTCCATATGTTTGGGGAGTTTTCCACATGCCTTTTGGCGAACACCAAACGTTTTTGCTTATTCTTTTCTTTAAGCAATGGCTTTTTTCTGGCCACTCTTCTGTAAAGCCCAGCTCTGTGGAGTGTACGGCTTAAAGTGGTCCTATGGACAGATACTCCAATCTCCGCTGTGGACCTTTGCAGCTCCTTCAGGGTTATCTTTGGTCTCTTTGTTGCCTCTCTGATTAATGCCCTCCTTGCCTGGTCCGTGAGTTTTGGTGGGCGGCCCTCTCTTGGCAGGTTTGTTGTTGCCATATTCTTTCAATTTTTTAATAATGGATTTAATGGTGCTCCATGGGATGTTCAAAGTTTCAGATATTTTTTTATAACCCAACCCTGATCTGTACTTCTCCACAACTTTGTCCCTGACCTGTTTGGAGAGCTCCTTGGTCTTCATGGTGCTGCTTGCTTGGTGGTGCCCCTTGCTTAGTGGTGCTGCAGCCTTTCAGAACAGGTGTATATATACTGAGATCATGTGACACTTAGATTGCACACAGGTGGACTTTATTTAACTAATTATGTGACATCAGAAGGTAATTGGTTGCACCAGATCTTATTTAGGGGCTTCATCGCAAAAGGGGTGAATACATATGCATGCACCACTTTTCCATTATTATTTTTTTTAGATTTTTTTTAAACAAGTTATTTTTTTCATTTCACTTCACCAATTTGGACTATTTTGTGTTTGTCCATTACATGAAATCCAAATAAAAATCAATTTAAATTACAGGTTGTAATGCAACAAAATAGGAAAAATGCCAAGGGGGATGAATACTTTTGCAAAGCACTGTATGTCTGAACATGGCTGGAATAGCAGATCATTCCTGGGACAGGAGACATGTGAGGACAATGATTAAGATGAAGATCATGATGAAAAATGTAAGTGAAATCAAACGAGTCCAACTAAAATATTAATCTTTCCATTAGAACATGTCTGACATACTTTGCTGAGTTCATATCAACAGGTCCCTGGTCAAGGTCTTTCAGAATGCTCCACAGCCTCTGTTCGGACAGCCCCTTATCAACTACTACCATGCAAGCATTACGCCAATGGCCACAAGGTCATTTCAGTTTTATGTAAATGGTTCACCAGCCCATGTTTTATTTTTTTAAATGTTTTTTGCTACGTTGGCATCAGGGATGGGCCAAAATGTCAAAATACAATTACAAAATACCATAAAGATCAATGTTTCAAAATAAACAACAAAATAATTGTATTTTAATCAAATACATTTGAAAATATATGTACTGTATTTTTTATTTTAAAATACAGAAATACATTTGCAAGTAGCCGGCCCGAACAGCAACAACATTCTCACGGTTACAAAAACGTCTTACTTGCTATAACTGTAATATGTTGTTCTTTCTCTACGTCAGTTGAATGCACTGACTGTAAGTCATTCTGGATAAGAGTGTCTGCTAAATGACCTAAATGTATATGTGAAAGTGAACATACCAAAATGAACTGCAAAGCACACATTATTATTGGCCTTGTTACGCGGCAGCGCTCATTAGAATAATACTCAGCATGCTTTGCAATTGTCAATTTTTACATTTATATTTAATTCATTTAGCAGATGCTATTATCACACCATAGAGCAATCAGACTTTTGATACCAATGCATGGTGAAAAGGGGCCGCAAAAAATTATAATAAAAAAAGAAAAGTAATTTGTATTTTGAAAATACAAATTACAGCTCTCGAATGTATCCTGCTAGAATACATTGGAGTGTAGTTCAGTCCAGTGTAATACAAATTACAAAATACTCAGACGTAATTGAAATACATATTCAAATACTGCCCATCTCTGGTTGGCATCAGGTTTCCTAGTGGAGTCCCCTAGAGGAATCAGAGCTACAGAATGTCTGCAATGAATTGTGTCTACACACACACACACACACACACACACACACGACATGACCTAAAACCTTGAATAATCACTAGCATGACATCATCGTGGCAGCACTGAGCTTTAATAATTTGTGTTCAGACTGAGCCGTGTGTGTAACATCCCCATTATAGACCCCCCCCCCCCCCCCCCCCCCCCGACCACACACTCAGCCTCCACACAGAGTCTAATCCCTACATGCTGAAACATAATGCAAAAATCGTTCATGAAAAAAAAAAATGGACCCGATAACTTTAACAGGATCAGGGGGGAAAAAAATGCATCTGGCAACAGTCTATTAAAACATGCAGAGGCAGACGAGCTTGGGGCCTTACTGAGAGGAATGAGACTGCAGCAGAGGGGAGAGGAGAGGGAGAGCTGCCTACTGCAGCCTGCCTGCCACACAGAGCCAGAGAGAGATGACTACTACTATTATCACATGTTATTTTCCCCCGCTCAGCTACCCGTTGATTTGTGTATGAAAACCTAGCGCTTTTCTTTTACTCCTGCATGCTTGCCCCCCTTCTGGGTTTCTGCTTTTTGAGTGATCAGCTGATGAAGAGGCTAGCTGCTCGCCGCTATGCTGGCTTGCTAATTCTCTCCACTCCAGCTGCAGCCGCAGCCCATCCAGCTACAACCCATTCTGATCCACAGAGTCAGACTGCAGACTGCAGACAGGTAAATATTTGTCCTTCCTTCTTTCATTGTTTTCCTTCATTCTCCCTCGCTTCCTCTCTTTATTCTGAGAATAGGATTCAGCCAGGCTGCATCGCACAGAGGAGACAGGAGAGAGAGAGAGAGAGCGTGTGTGTGTGTGAGTGAGTGAGTGAGTGTCTGTCTGTCTAAGTGTGTGCGGTGTCTGTGAGCGGGAGAGGAAGTGAGTGTGTAGGTGTGAGCTGTAACAGATGAGGGGGTATCGTTTGGCAGTCGAGGAGGGGAAGGAAGAGGCAGGTTTGTTTGGTGATGATGGCACAAGCATGGAGCAACACACACACACACACACACAGGTGTGTTTAGCTGTTTTATCTGTCTCTCAGGATTACTCTGTAACCCATTGCATTCCACTGTAGCCCTGTAGAGAAGGCTTTATAAAGATAACCTTAAAGCTGACCGATTATCCTCATGATGCCGTTTGTTGTCCTTTTTACTGTTCTTGTTGCGTTCGATCATTCTGTTTTTATTCATGCTTTTCTCGCTTTTACTGTGTGTGTGCGCGTGTGTATTAGTGTACGTGTGTGTAAGTGTACATGCATATTCCACTGTCGGAATGTCATACAGATCTTTTGTCATTGATGATGACGGTTAGGCCACTTTCGACATGGTCCCCAAGGGTTTGTGTGTCTGTGCCTGTGGCGAGAGGGAGGGGGTTGACTGATCGTATGTGCATTCATAAGCACAAACGACATGTCTGTATGAATATACAGTTACATGCGCTTTCATCTCTGTTTCCTTGTAGATATTCACATTCTAATACAATATAATATGACGTGGGTGTGCACTATCATGGCTGCATTTCTGTATGATTCATACATCAATATTCCGTTCAGATTGGAGTGCATTCCTCACTCTCTGCTGAATGTGAACACATTCACACCCTCTTTCTCTCTGTCTGTCTGTCTCTTTCCCCCTTTCCCCCTTTCCCCCTTTCCCCCTTTCCGTCTCTCTCTCTCTCTCTCTCTCTCTCTCTCTCTCTCTCTCTTCTCTTTCTCTTTCTCTTTCTCTTTCTTCCAGCCTGGACAAGTAATGCTGCATGCATACATCTAAGCTTTAATTGCCTTTGTGTAAAATACAGCAGTTGCTTGCTGCAGACATTTGCAGCTATGAGAGATGAAAATAAGATACAGACACCATCATGGTGCATTTCCACTGAGAATTTACCCCAGTGTTTTGCCTCAGACTTTAGTGTTTCCACCTGCTTTGACTTGGGGCCAAGGCAAGGCCTCTGGGGCTTATCGGGCAGCATTTACATAACAATGGCTAACTGCGAACATGGATTTACACCTTCCACGGTTAATACCTTCTCACAAAGCAACTGACCTGTATTTTTTAGGCACTAAAGTACTTCCATATATACTTCCATAAAAATGTTTAACGGGTACTGGGCTGCCTTCAGACGAGGCTTGTGGGTGTCCTAGAGCAAAACAACCGACATGTACGTTACAGACAGAAGTTAGAAGATTGGCGGTAACGACTTGTGAGGGTCCTATCTTTCCATAGAGGGGTCATATTAGTTTTGTAGGCCAAACCGTTCGGAGGCTACAGACATTTCAGTGAGAAGACGGATTTCTCCTGGTATGATAAACACAGAAGGGGAACAGCACATGCAAAAAAAAAAACATATCTCTAGCGTAAACAGATGGATTTCTATGGGGATTTTTTTATGATGCCAATTTGATTTCTGTGGGGTGCAGACATCGACTCTAGGTTAATGAATAATTGATAGTGAAATCAATAATATATGCACATTTAGTTAATTCTTTGAAGTAGTTTTTGGAAGAGGCTGTTGAATGGTTTTTCAAGGTCAAACTTTGTCTGGACTGTCTAAGAGAGGAGATCAATTGAACAGCTATTTAAGAACCACTAAGCTGTCAGGAGTGTAGCTGACAGGAGTTACAGGGGTCAAATCACTGTCAAGAGCACAGTTGTTTCTTATCCCATCCCCAAACTCATTTACAAATCCCTCTTTGGGATTTACATTTTATTGGGCCAATCTTTCTCCTCTTGAATAAGAAGAGAACTTGTACAATGAACTGACACACACTGATTAGTGTGTGTGTAAATTCTCTCGCCACTCAAATATTTGTTAATGTACTGTATCTTCCAGGCGGCAGGTAGCCTAGCGGTGGGCGGCAGGTAGCCTAGCGCTTAAGAGTGTTGGGCCAGTAACCGGAGGGTTGCTGGTTCAAATCCCAGAGCCGGCAATGTGGAGAAATCTGCTGTTCTACGCTTGAGCAAGGCAATTAACCCCCAACAAGAACTGCTCCCCGGGCACTGATGACATCGATTAAGGCAACCCCCTGCACCTGTCTGATTCAGAGGGGTTGGGTTAAATGTGGAAGAACATTTCAGTTGAATGCATTCATTTGAGCACCTGACTAGGTATCCCCTTTCCCTCTTCCAGCAGCTTGTGCATTCCTATATCCATCCTTTGTTTTCTGTGGTTCCCAGGAAGAGTAGATGTTGCTTAAGTAACAGCTAATTGAGATCCAAATAAACAAACAAATCCTCTCCTTCTTCATCCTCTTCTTCCTCCTCCTCGACCACCCCCCATGTGGAGGAGAACGGGGCCTTGGAGGACATGGAGGAGGACATAAGCCTAAAGAAACGGAAAGGTGATCACCACGGCGACAAAGACTCTGAGTCGCGAGACTCCGGCCAGGAGGCTGGAGGTGAAAAGGTCAAGAAACGGAGAGGTAGACCTCCGGCGGAGAAACTGCCCCCCAACCCTCCCGAGCTCACCAAGCAGCTTAACACACTGGTGGACATGGCTATCAACTACAAAGACGGGTGAGATTACCAGGGAGAATTGGGGGCGCTGTGGTAATTATGTATTAATGGATAATGCAATTATATCCACACAGTATTAATTAACTACTAATTAGCGATGTGTAGATATGAAGTGCCATGGTGTTTGATGTCAGACCATGCAGGGAATGGTTAGACATGAATTACTTATATTTTGTGCCTCTATTTCACAGTTTGAGCATTTGTTTTCTTTCAAAATCTTTAGCTGCACTTGATTAGACTTGACTGGAACAATGGAACTAAATCTGGCCAATCTGCCACTCCAGGGATGCTCAATCAAATGCTGAAAGTATTTGAAACAAAACAAATACTATTGTTGGTCGGTAACAGTGCCTGTGCATAATAATTCCAGGTTGGGCCGTCAGATCAGCAAAGGCTTCGTCCAGCTGCCTTCTAGGAAGGAGGTGCCAGAGTACTACGAGTTGATCCGCAAGCCTGTGGACTTCAGGAGGATCAGGGTAGGCTCTGCAGACCGTCTACACTGCATCTATAGGCACAGCACCAACCCACCCAAATCTTCCCACATACCAATTCAGCTCAGCACCAGCCCTCAGCCTTTCAGCCTACTGGTGGCTCACCACTAACCCACCAAATCTTACCACTAACCCACCAACTGATCAGCTCTTCCCCCAAATCTTCCCACATACCAACTGGACCTAGGCCTGTTAACGCAGTCATAGATGGCAGTGCTAGCCTTTAATCTGTCCAACTGTCCCTCCACAACCCTGTGGTTGTCATGAACTAAAAAAAAAAATGCATTTCCCAGCATCATCCAAGCAAACTTTTCTAACTGATGATGTTGGATTCAGGTACTACACTGATCAAAAATCTAAACGCAACATGTAGTGTTGGTTTCATGAGCTGAAATAAAATATCCCAGAAAGTTTCCATACACACAAAAAGCTTATTTCTCTCAAATTTGGTGCACAAATGTGTTTATATCCCTATTAGTGAGAAGTTCTCCTTTGGCAAGATCATCCATCCACCTGACAGGAGTGGCATATCAAGAAGCTGATTAAACAGCATGATCATTACACAGGTGCACCTTGTGCTGGGGACAATAAAAGGCCACTCTAAAATGTACAGTTTTGTCACACAACACAATGCCACAGATGTCTCAAGTTTTGAGGGAGCGTGCAATTGGCATGCTGACTGCAGGAATGTCCACCAGAGCTGTTGCTAGAGAAATGAATGTTAATTTCTCTACCATAAGCTGCCTCCAACCGGCCTCACAACCGCAGACCACGTGTATGGCGTTCTGTGGGCGAGTGGTTTGCTGATGTCAACGTCATGAACAGAATGCCCCATGGTTGCAGTGGGGTTATGGTATGGGCAGGCATAAGCTACAGACAACGAGCACAATTGCACTTTATCGATGACAATTTGAATGCAGAGAGATACCGTGATGGGATTCTGAGGCCCATTGTTGTGCCATTCATCCGCCACCATCACCTCATGTTTCAGCATGATAATGCACGGCCCCATGTTGCAAGGATCTGTACACAATTCCTGGAAGCTGAAAATGTCCCAGTTCTTCCATGGCCTGCATACTCACCAGACATGTCACCCATTGAGCATGTTTGGGATGCTCTGGATCGACGTGTACAACAGCATGCTCCAGTTCCCGCCAATATCCAGCAACTTCGCACAGCCACTGAAGAAGAGAGGGACACCATTCCACAGGCCACAATCAACAGCTTGATCAACTCTATGCGAAGGAGATGTGTCGCGCTGCATGAGGCAAATGGTGGTCACACCAGATACTGACTGGTTTTCTAATCCACTCCCCTACCTTTTTTAAAGGTATCTGTAACCAATAGATGCATATCTGTATTACCAGTCATGTAAAATCCATAGATTAGGGCCTAATGAATTTATTTCAATTGATTGATTACCTTATATGAACTGTAACTCAGTAACATCTTTGAAATTGTTGCATGTTGCATTCATATTTTTGTTCAGTATAATATGCACTGTATTTATGTACATGTTTTCTGACCATGTGCGGTTATTTTGTAGGAGCGTGTGCGCAATCACAAGTACCGGAGTGTGGGAGATCTGGAGAAGGACATTATACTGCTGTGTCACAACGCCCAGACCTTCAACCTGGAGGGATCTCAGGTGTGCCTCAGGGATGTGATCTAGGCCCGCTGGAGTTCACACCACTGCCTACCGTTTCTACATGAAATCCACATGCCATGATGCCACCAGCTCTTGATTGTGAGAGGCTAATTCGGTGGCTAATTTGGTTTATGTTATGTGTGTGTTTGCTATAGATATTTGAGGACTCGATCGTTCTCAAGTCTGTGTTTGAGAGTGCACGACAGAGGATCGTCATTGACAATGAGGAGAAAAAGGACAGCACTGCCATCTGTGACGATGATGGAGGTGGAGACAATCAGTTTGTTTCATCAGAAGGTGAGAGACCCGGTCTTTGTGATCTCAAAATAAACTGTTCGAAGGACACCTTTTAAAAACCCAATAGGAAAATCAAGATGACGCAGTTCAGTTAACAATGAGAAGATCATTTTCACTTTTACTCACCCAAACCATTGTGAGTCTTATCAAGCGTTATAATTATTTAGATTTTGAATAGCTTGAAAGGATTTATTTTCTCAAAGATCAATGACAGGACAAATTATTATCTGGTTGTCATTATAAAAAGGATATACTATATTCTGTTCCTTTCTCAATCCTTTCTTTTCAGTGAAAACAGTGACAAAGCAGGTGAAACAGAGGATGAAGAAGGAGGAGAGGAGCAGAAAGATGAAGATCAAGAAGACAGTCTACAGTGATGTAGACAGCAATGAGGATCTGGAGGACAATACAGCTAAAGATGAGGGTTGACCTGGAGGACCAACGCTAGTTCATTTACCCTCCTTATCCTCTTTCTTTCTCTCCGCTGTCACTGTTTTTGCAATGCAGCTTATTAGTTTGCTCACCTTGCTAAAGGTTTGTCTCATCTCAAGTCAAGAAGGCTACTCAAAGAAAGGAATTTACGTACTTAATGATGTTGGTCCTCAAGTAATTCATGCAGCCTTAAACGTTCATGTCTCTTGACTATTATTTTGCCTTTTTGTTCTTTGGGATTTAATGGTGTTGCTCCCTTGGTCCTCATATGAAAGCTATTGTGTGTATCCTTAATGTGTAACCAGAGGATATCTCCCCCCTCTTTTTCCATGAGTTGTTTTTGTATTTGAAAATGTTATTACTGTGTGTGTGTGAAAGGCCTTCATACGTCTTGGAGCATGATGTATTTCTGCTAAGACGGAGACCGCCCTCAGAGAGTGGCGCATGTTGATGACATCACTATATGTTGTGTTACAGGTGTGGGAGATGGCAGAAAATGGTTGGTCAGTTCTTCAATGTGACCAGGATGGACACTACTGGATTGTTTCAAATCTCAAAATGTGTGGATTTAAAATGAAGTATGATTCTGTAATAAATCTCAAAATGGGAGAATTGTATTTGAACAATATTCTGTTTTCTGAATGACCTGAACACCAACATTGATTTCATACTTAATTAGCAGATATAAACAGATAAAGTTGTATTGTTTCAGCTGTAAGTTTTATATTGTATACTCATGGGCTTCTTGTGTTATTTTGCATCTTTTTCAGTTTGGTTTAGAGTGGCAACTGTCAAGTCCCAGGTGACAAACAAGGAGAAAAGAGAGATCTTCCAGCAGGAGACCGTAGGGATTTGTGTTGAGGTCTTTTTTTGTGTTTCTCTCTCTTGGCAAGACTGAAAGTTGTCATCCTATTCCTATAAAGACAGTCAGTCCTTGGCAGTACATTTTAACAACCAATGGGGAGACCGATTCTGGCAAGAAGAAGTACAAGTCTCTGCAGTAGCTACACTAAGATAGATTCTGACAAGAAGTTTGTGTGCAAGTATCTACAGTTGTTCTATACTAATCCTGCTTTGTGTAAAAAAAGCAATACATCAGTCAGTGTAGCCAGCAGAAACATATTCTATAGCCCACAGACTGATTATATGGATATTTGTGTAAAGTAACTGTTCAGTGAAAATCTCCCTTTTAAAAGTTAATAGTCTGTTAACTCATGCCCAAATAATGTTGTTGACTCATCCTATACTTGTATTGGTGGCCAAAGCATAAATTAGAGAAAAAACACTTTAAAAACCCCACCTCAAACAGACCGTTTAATAAAATGCTTGCTCTTTCCTCAGAGTATGATATCATACTCCTGAGGAGGATGAGCTGGCCAATCAGCAGTGTACTTGCATTAATATTTTGTATGACCGATGTACGCCCACACTATTCCAACACAGAAAAGCTGCTTTTTAACATACTTCGTCCAGGGTAGGGGAGGGAATGGCCAGCAGGGATGTAGCTCAGTTGGTAGAGCATGGCGTTTGCAACGCCAGGGTTGTGGGTTCGATTCCCATGGGGGGCCAGTATGAAAAAAAAAAAAAAATGTATGCACTCACTAACTGTAAGTCGCTCTGGATAAGAGCGTCTGCTAAATGACTAAAATGTAAATGTAAAATTTCATATGAATCTGGAAACACTGGACAGTTACTTTACTTTTTAGGTACAAGTAAGGTTTGCTGAGGCACAAGGAGAAAGAGGGCATTGTTCTCTACCCATTCTTGTGCTTATCACTCTTTTGAAAGTAGGATAATGCTGTAGCGATGCACTAAGTCATCTGCTACACTTGTATAGTCTCAGCCAGGAGAAGTGAGAAAGGTAAGTGAAGTTTATATTGGCTATTGTATGCCTCTCTCTCCCAGTGCCACGTATGACGTGATGACAAATGTTCTTTCTCTCTGAACAATGATGAATTCATTATGCAAGGAGTAGATTTTGACATGGTATGGAATCTGATCTGAATGACTGCATTCTGTTTGTCTTGTGATATCAAAGTGTGTTTACAACCATGTTTATGCAGAGCACAATATGCATAGAATCAATCAGAAGAGGACTAAAACATATTCAGTCTAAAATTAACTTATTCATAATCCATTTCATTTGAGTGAGTGTTTTCGTTTCCATATGCTAAACCACATTTTATTTGCACGTACTACAGCTCTCTGAGTAAGTAATGGGTTTAGTGAGTAATTTACCTGAAGAGTCTTTTTTTCCAAAAGACTGGCTGCTGGGAAATTCCTTTTCCCCATCAAACAAATGGTGCTGAATTACTAATCGACCCCTAGCCAATATTACTCTGATTCCCGGGTCCACCCGTAAGTAGAATGTATGCATGCATGATTTTAAATGTTTGCTAAATGGCATATTTTATATTATTGAGGAGGATTGGATAGGTATAAGCATGATTATTGCTTCACCTTGCTTTCTAATTGGCTGGGATCAAATCAAACTTTATTTGTTACATGCTCCGAATACAGCAAGTGTAGACCTTACCGTGACATGCTTACTTACACGCCCTTAACCAACAATGCAGTTCAAGAAAGAGTGGAAAAAATATTTACCAAATAAACTAAAGTAAAAAATAATACAAAGTAACACAATAAAATAACAATAACGAGGCTATATACAGGGGGTACCGGTACCGAGTCAATGTGCGGGGGTACAGGTTAGTCGAGGTAATGGTACATGCAGGTAGGGGTAAAGTGACTTTGCATAAATAATAGACAGCGGGTAGCAGCAGTGTAAAAAAACAAATAGTTTGGGTGGCCATTTGATTGATTGTTCAGCAGTCTTATGGCTTGGGTGTAGAAGCTGTTAAGGAGCCTTTTGGTCCTAGACTTGGCGCTCCTGTACTGCTTGCCGTGCGGTAGCAGAGAGAACAGTCTATGACTAGGGTGACTGGAGTCTTTGACAATTTTTTGGGCTTTCCTCTGACACCGCCTAGTATACAGGTCATGGATGGCAGGAAGCTTGGCCCCAGTGATGTACTGGGCCGTACGCACTACCCTCTGTAGCGCCTTACGGTCAGATGCCGCATAGTTACCATACCAGGCGGTGATGCAACCGGTCAGCATGCTCTCGATGGTGCAGCTGTAGAACTTTTTGAGGATCTGGGGACCCATGCCAAATCTTTTCAGTCTCCTGAGGTGGAAAAGGTGTTGTTGTGCCCTCTTCATGACTGTCTTGGTGTGTTTGGACCATGATAGTTTGTTGGTGATGTGGACATCAAGGAACTTGAAACTTGCGACCCGCTCCGCTACAGCCCTGTCGATGTTAATGGGGGCCTGTTCGGCCCACCTTTTCCTGTAGTCCATGATCTGCTCCTTTGTCTTGCTCACATTGAGGGAGAGGTTGTTGTCCTGGCACCACTCTGCCAGGTCTCTCACCTCCTCCCTATAGGCTGTCTCATCATTGTCGGTGATCAGGCCTACCACTGTGGTCCTCTGTAGCTCAATGTGGTCCTCTGTAGCTCAATTGGTAGAGCATGGCGCTCGTAACGCCAGGGTAGTGGGTTCGATCCTCGGGACCACCCATACGTAAAAATGTATGCACACATGACTGTAAGTCGCTTTGGATAAAAGCGTCTGCTAAATGTCATATTATTTATTTATTATTTGTGTCGTCAGCAAACTTAAGGATGGTGTTGGAGTCGTGTTTGGCCAAGCAGTCGTGGGTGAACAGGGTGTACAGGAGGGGACTAAGCACGCACCCCTGAGGGACCCCAGTGTTGAGGATCAGCGTGGCAGACGTGTTGTTGCCTACCCTTACCACCTGGGGGCGGCCCGTCAGGAAGTCCAGGATCCAGTTGCAGAGGGAGGTGTTTAGTCCCAGGGTCCTTAGCTTAGTGCACTATGGTGTTGAATGCTGAGCTGTAATCAATTAACAGCATTCTCACATAGGTGTTCCTTTTGTCCAGGTGGGAAAGGGCAATGTGGAGTGCGATTGAGATTGCGTCATCTGTGGATCTGTTGGGGCGATATGCGAATTGGAGTGGGTCTAGGGTATCTGGGATGATGCTGTTGATGTGAGCCATGACCAGCCTTTCAAAGCACTTCTTGACTACCAACGTGAGTGCTACGGGGCGGTAATCATTTAGGCAGGTTACCTTCGCTTCCTTGGGCACAGGGACTATGGTGGTCTGCTTGAAACATGTCGGTATTACAGACTCTGTCAGGGAGAGGTTGAAAATGTCAGTGAAGACACTTGCCAGTTGGTCCGTGCATGCTTTGAGTACACGTCCTGGTAATCCGTCTGGCCCCCGGCTTTGTGAATGTTGACCTGTTTAAAGGTTTTGCCCACATCGGCTACCGAGAGCGTTATCACACAGTCGTCCAGAACAGCTGGTGCTCTCATGCATGCTTCAGTGTTGCTTGCCTCGAAGCGAGCATAAAAGGTATTTAGCTCGTCTGGTAGGCTTGCGTCACTGGGCAGCTTGCGGCTGGGTTTCCCTTTGTAGTCTGTAATAGTTTTCAAACCCTGCCACATCCGACGAGTGTCAGAGCTGGTGTAGTAGGATTCAATCTTAATCCTGTATTGATGCTTTGCCTGTTTGATGGTTCGTCTGAGGGCATAGCGGGATTTCTTATAAGCGTCCGGATTAGTGTCCTGCTCCTTGAAAGCGGCAGCTCTAGCCTTTAGCTCGATGTGAATGTTGTCTGTAATCCATGGCTTCTGGTTGGGATATGTACGTACGGTCACTGTGGGGGCGACGTCGTCGACGCACTTATTGATGAAGCCGAAGCCATTGGATGAATCCCGGAACATATTCCAGTCTGTGCTAGCAAAACAGTCATGTAGCGTAGCATCCGCGTCATTTGACCACTTCCGTATTGAGCGAGTCACTGGTACTTCCTGCTTTAGTTTTTGCTTGTAAGCAGGAATCGGGATGATATAATTATGGTCAGATTTGCCAAATGGAGGGCGAGGGAGAGCTTTGTATGCATCTCTGTGTGTGGAGTAAAGGTGGTCTAGAGTTTTTTCCCTCTGGTTGCACATGTGACATGCTGGTAGAAATGAGGTAAAATTGATTTAAGTTTGCCTGCATTAATGTCCCCGGCCACTAGGAGCGCCGCATCTGGATGAGCATTTTCTTGTTTGCTTGTGGCCTTATACAGCTCATTGAGTGCGTAGGATATTCTTGATCCTAGATCATCCATTTTGTTTTCTAATAATTGCACGTTGGCCAATGGAACGGATGGTAGTGGAAGTTTACTTACTCGCCTATGAATTCTCAGAAGGCAGCCCGACCTCCGCCCCCTTTTTCTCCGTCTTTTCTTCACGCAAATGATGGGGATTTGGGCCCGTTCCCGAGAAGGCAGTATATCCTTCGCGTGGGAAGTCCAGTGCGAGGTGAGTAATCACTGTTCTGATGTCCAGAAGTTATTTTCGGTCATAAGAGACGGTAGCAGCAACATTATGTACACAATAAGTTAAAAAATAGGTTACAAACAATGCGAAAAAACTAACAAAATAGCACAGTTGGTTAGGAGCCTGTAAAACGGCAGGGATAGATAGAGGACTCATCTTTATATTTGTGCCATTATAGCATCTGTGACAGCATGGGCAGCGCCATTGAGGCCATCTCCATTTTTAAGTAGTCAATTTTCTTCAAGATTGGCTGATCAATATGACTCCAACAGGGTCACCAGGAGGAATCAGCCAATGAATTTGGAAGTCCCACCCAGTTGACTACATTAAAATGGTGGAATCCCTCAATGGCGCTGCCCCATGCTAATATGGCCTTTTGGCCACTAAAGGACTCTATTTTTCTCTATGGACGAGACCTAGGTACCTAGGGCTTA